TGGCCAGCCTGGCAACCTGGGCATCGCGAGTTTGGAGGACGGCTTGATCCTCTGCCCCCACTTGGTCCGCAGCTGCTCTTCGGCATCCTCGAGAAAGCGGGCAGCTCCTTCTGGAGTGTTGCTGCTAGCGAACAGATTGTCAATGTGCGATGCAGCCCTGAGGCGCGACTCGTCGCAGCGGAACCCCCGGGTCTTCTATGGCTCCGCCCTGTCATTCATCGCCTCTTCCACCGGGATCCGGGCAAGCATCGAAGCGGTTCGGCTTCCTGTCAGGCCCCCTTTGGACCGGTTCACGACGGGCACAGCGCTGCCGCCGGCGTGGGGGGTCGCGCGGGGCATCATCTGAGCACGCACTAAACGCGCCACGTCCTCGGGGGGACAACCCCTGGTTACCAGCCGCCTGCAGATCCAGAGGGCCCTCGGCTCGTCAAAGTAAGTCTGGACGTCGCACTGGGCAAGAACAGCGTTGCTGTGATCGTCGAAGCCCTTCTCGACGACCAGCTGCAGCGCGCGCGATGTCTAAAGCCTGCGCGCGGGGCCGAGCGCCGACGCAGATCCCGAACTGCTGAGGGATCAACCGACCCACCACTTTGTTCGAGTACTTGGCAAAAACAACATCGACAACTTGCAAACCAGCAGATTGCGGCAATTTCGCACGGGTGTATTGCACGGGCGCGCGGCTCGAAGCTTTTCCAAAAACGCGGCCGTGGATGTCAAGCGAGGCCAAGGCCGGTAAACTGCAGATGAGCCTGTTCAGGAAATTTGACATCGTCTCTGGCTGCGCGCGCAACGCCAGGAATATGAACGCAACGCAGACGCCATAATGATCAAGCTTGTCGGGTCGACGGACTGCCCGGGCAGCGTCCAACCACTCGTCGCTGGAGAATTGCATCCCCACACCCTCGTATAGCATCGCGAAGTCGAGCAACTGCATGCGATCATCCAGTTTCTAGCAATCCCACTTCTGGCGGTAGTGCTCTTGCACCTCCGAATCCCAGAGGTCCCGGCTATCTGTCCAAGCCCCTTTCCTCTCCCCGGAAAGCTCAGACAGCTGCATTGCGCAATTTGGGTGCAACTTCTTGGCCTTCTCCACCACGCCTCCGCTCTCCACCCGCTGCTACAAAATGCGCCTCCGCATGTCCGCTACCCACTGCTTCCGCAGGTTCCTGGTCAGGGAGCGCAGTTCTGCTGTTGGATCTCGCCGGAGTCTGGCATAGGCGTCCCTCAGCTGCAGCGGCATGCGCTCCTGCCGGCGCTGGCGGCGCGTGGGATTTGTAGCCCACGCGCTCAGCGCGTCTGCTGCGAAAGCGTTGAACAACTCGCAATCCATTGACTCTGGAAACGTATAATCCCCTCCAGCCACCGGCGGCGCGCATCGCGATCAGCGCAGCACTAGGCACGCTTCTTCGACTCAAATTTGACATAAGAGTGAGAACATGTAACTGCCACGATAGCGCGATCCGCAGGAACGCCATGCCCAGAAGCACAGCACTGCGACACCACACCCGGACTGCACGCACAATAATCGATACAACTTGGAATGCAAGACTGGGATTGCCTACCAATCGGAACCCGAGTGATTGGTACAAAGAGGCACTCTGCTGCGAAAGGCCCCTCCGGTACCCCAGCTGCGCTCCCAAGGAGATGAAGCTGAAGACGGAACTGATCACAAAACCAGTCAAGCCGCAACCTCTCCTCGAAATGATGGAGATCTCGGGCGTGAGAATTCGCCCACGGGTCTCCGGCCCAAGCTGGAAGCATGTCGACATTGAAATCGCCGGACACGATTACAGCGGCTGCGAAGGGCTTACCTCGGACCAAGCACGCAAGGTCAGCAAGAATCTCCTCCTGCATCTCGCCGTGGGAGTTGTGCAGGAACACTGCCCAGAGGCTCATACCGCGGCTGACGTCCGAGGGCTTCTTCAAGAGGCGAAGGGCATCGCGGCAGCCCCGCCACTCCACCCTCTGAATAAGATGACCGATAGGTCTTCGGACATGCAGTGACATCGCCCACGAGCCCTCCCCGGGCCAATGGCGATACGAAAAATGACCTTGAAGGGATGAACGCCGTGAATCAGGAAACCCATCGACTGCAAAGAAAAAACAGAAACCCCACTGTGGCACAGCAGTCGCAACAGCGTGCAATATCGAGTCCAATCCGCTGCTGCTCCCCCCGGCTCTGCCGCAATTGAACCATGCAGTATCCAGAAACTCCAGGGTTTGTCACTCCTGCTCGGCGTAAGCCTTCCCCATGTCCTGGGTCTCATTGTCATACCGCTGGTTCGCATACTGCGTCCAGCGTCACGTGCCCTGCAAGCTGAAGCCCACACGCGTGCCCCCAACCTCCACGAACTTGCCGTTCAGCTTCTTCTCCACTACTCTCTTGTCCTCCCTCCTCGACTCCACATCCTCGAAGAACTCGGCCACGCGGTGCACCAGGCGAGCCAGTCGCAGCTCGGCCCTCTCCTTGCGCGCATCCAGCCACACGAACTTGTTGTCGACGTACTTCTGGCTGAGGGCCTGGACAGCAACTAGCGCCGCATGCAGCTTCTCTGGGCTGACAGATATCAGATCGGCCGCGCTGCCCCCGCGCAGGCTGACCGCCGACAGCTTGCTGTAGTCCTCCGGCTTCACGCCTGAATTAGTCAACAATTCCCTCGCCCTCACGAGGATGGTCTCGGGCTCGGTGTTCCAGCCCAGGTTCCCGATGCGGGCGACGACGCGGGCCTCGTACGGGATGCAGCATGATGTACCCGCCTGGGACGACGAAGTAGGGAGAAGAGCAGGCGGCGCGGATGCAGACGCCCCAGCACCCGACTCCACCTTCTCGCGTAGTTTCTTGACCTCCTTCTGGATCCCGGCCAACGTGACCTCCCGCTGCTGGGTGAACTCAGTCTCGACGTCAGTCACTCGCTTCTCGAGCGCGGCGTTCTGGTCCTTCAGCTCCTGGATGTTCTTGTCCTGCTCATCGAACTTGCCCTGCATGTGTGAGCCGAAGGCCGTCAAAGCTCCGCCCACGGCCTTCCGCATCCTCTCCGCCTGAGGCTTCGAAAAAGGCGGCTGGTTTGCATCCGCCGGGCTCGCGCCTCTCTCCTTCTTCCTCGCTGGGCTGCCGGCAGACTTAACAGAGAAAAACTTGTTCATCTGCTCTGCGAAACCCTGCATCATTATGAGA